CAAAAAATGAGAAATACCGAGCAATACCAAACAATAACGAGGAATACCATCACGTGAAGACCCAATACTGAGTTATACCGAGCAATACCGAGTTATACAAAAGTTGTACCGAGTTTTTCCTAGAAAAAACTCGGTACAACTCAGCATTGCTCGGTATAGCTCTGTATAACTCAATATTGATCTTCAAAGAGAGCAAATACCAAATTCTTTCACAAAATGTTGCCTCCGATCAATCATTCCTCTACATCCATACACCAGACCTAATAAAAGTTCCTACCAAACTGCCCTTAAGAGTCGTTCGTTGAGGCCGCGGCCCTGGCGGGAACAAAAGAAACCCTCCTTTGGCTCCATTAATTCCTCGCATCACTGCCCTACATAGCAGATAGAGAGGCACTAAAGAAAGGTGAGATTTTGAGAATTCGAAAGAGGTTCGCAACTTGCTATCGGACTTTCCTTCTCTCTTGTGTTTACCTAGGGTTTTTTAAAGATATCGAATCGGTTCTTTGCTCGCATATGTGCTTTCCGTGTCATAAGGTTGGAATTTGAATTGCCCCCTGTGGCGACTCCTGCAACTTGCGTCGATTTCTGGCATCTCCATTTAGGTGAGTTGCATGGTGTTATTTTTCTTTCCTTTCAGTATTGTAGTTCGTGTCATTGCATCAATTGAAGTTTCAGGTTTCAGCTTTTTAAGTTCTAATTTTAAAAGCCTTTGGGACTACTCCGCCTTTAGCGGCAGGTTCTGCTTAATAGAAGCTCATTAACACTTGTGAAATCACGGGGATGGTGTTTATTGTTCTAAAAATGCAAATGTGAAGTTATTGAAAAAAATCAAATTCTTTTGTCTGATTTAAATCTCTTGTTACACTAATTTAGTTTTGAAAACTACATGTTTATTTGCAGAATTCACATGTGCCAAATTATCTAAGAAGCTTCTGGCAATGCAGTAAGTTGGGGAAGGTTGCAATGTATGCTAGACAATTGAAAAGCCGAGGGCAGAGCTGGTGTTCGTTAAATACATTAAACTATACATTTAGGTCAAGTCCTGGGATTAGTTCTCGATTTCATTCATGCAGAAATGAATTCACGGGAGAAAGCTCATCAAGTGCTAGAAGAATCTGTTCAGCTCCAGTATCTTTTTCAAGTTTTGATTCTGTAGGGCTATGTAGGAGGTTTCGGGTTCATTTGGCATACAATTCATGTAGATTTTGTAGCTCAAATAGTGATGGAAGTAATGCTAGTGAGGAAGGCAATCATGCTCCTGTCAAGGATGCGAGTAAGTTTGATGAGGGAAAGTCTCCAAAAGAGGATATTTTATCTAAGTCCAAGCACAACAATGAGCATGCACGCCTTGGGGAGCATGACCAGCAGGAGTGGCTCAACTCCGAGAAACTGTCTATTGAATGCAAGGAAAAGGAGTCTCCTTTTTTAACAAAGCGGCAGCGGTTTAAGAATGAGTTCTTACGGAGGGTGGTTCCATGGGAGAGAATTACAGTCTCATGGAAGAACTTTCCTTATTATATCAAGTACTGATTTTCATCTATTTTTTTTGTTGTTTTTCAGCTGCAGTGTGTTCGTCTGAACTATATTTTCCATTTGGTGTAACAGTGAAAACACAAAGCACTTACTGGTAGAATGTGCTGCCTCCCATTTGAGACAGAGAAAATTTGCATCAGCTTATGGTGCACGGCTTCCCTCTTCTACTGGGAGGATTTTACTTCAAAGCATGCCAGGTTTTTGTGGCCACATCTACTGTTTTTTTTTTTTTCCATATAATTTCCTCTTCGTTCTATGCACTGTTGTGATCACTCTCATGAGAAAAGTATATTCAGGTTCTTGACTTTGTTGTTAGGGTCTGAACTTTATCGGGAAAGACTAGTACGAGCCCTAGCTAGAGACTTGCAGGTTCCTTTGCTCGTTCTTGACAGCAGTGTTCTTGCTCCATTTGTAAGTACATCATAGTGTTTACTTGCTGGAAATAAAAAAAAATTTACTGCCTTTGTTAAGAGGATAACCATTTTTTTTCAAAACTCTTTTGCAAAGCTGCATTTTGGTGAAGAATATGCATCAGAAAGTGAGTCAGATGATGAAAATGTTGATTCAGGAGAAGGATGCTCATCAGAATCAGATGTTGAGGAGGAGAATGAGGCAAGCAATGAAGAAGAATGGGGAAACAACAGTGAAACAAAGTCAGGCGAAAGCGATGATGATGGTGTTGATGTGCATGCATCTGTCGAAGCTCTTAAGAAGCTTGTGCCTTGTACGCTCGAGGAATTCGAAAAGGTATGATGCCGATGCTTCCATATTACTATTTGCATAATCAGTTTTCAGCATATAATTGTCAATTAATCATATAACATGGGACTCATAGTATTATTTGGGCCTTACAAAGTCAAAGTTTGAACTATTGAATAAATGTTATTTTCTTGTATATATTAATGTTAGAAATATTCGGTCTGACTATTGTTATATTTATTGACACAATTTGGAGCTTACAAGCAAAATTTTTGCATGTCGCTATTAAGAAGTTGTAATATTAGATTCCTCTGCTCGATTTTTTTTGAGATAAAAACAAGCATTTGCGAAGTAGACATCAAAATTAATGATTGACCATATGCTTCTTCTTTTCTTTATTCATTCCTTGCTTTCCTTGAATAATACAAGGCACCTATACTATCCCTCCTCATTTCAATGTGCTTTGACCTATCATTCCTTAAATTGTGGGGATAAGATGTGTCAATCTTTTATAACTTTGAGTTAGGGAAGGAAATATAAAACCGTACAGGTTCTCCTATATAATGGGGAAGTTTAGGTACTGCCACACTGACCCATCTGCATTCCTTGCTGTAGTTATGCTTTTACGCTGCTTTAGAGAAACAAAAACCTGACCCATCTCTTTGTCAACATTCTATGGTACCGTGTATTATATCACGTTGCCTCATCTTGATGCCCAGATTGAACCTGCATTTAGGTTGTATTCTTTGGGGTGAACCAGCCACCATTATATCTCAAATCCCAGGCTGCTGAAGTTTTATTTTAGCTAATACTGGTTTTAGATTTACTCTCACAGTTTATAAACATAGGAAAAATACTTTTTTGACTCTCTGCCTTTTTTTGAAAATTTTAAAGTAATTTATGGGCAAAACTTTTTTTATTACAACCCAATTGGACTAACTTTGAGTAAGATTTTTGTGGTGTCAAACCCCGACCCTTTTTTTCATGAATATCTATTAATAGTGAACTTAGTTTCGCATATTGTTTTGTTGATATTATACGTGAGTTTTTGCTATAAATGATGTAATAACAAACCGGCATAGACCTTTTTTTGGACATATTACCTATTCTTGCTTCCTATATGTTTGATATTCTACCTATTCTTGCTCTCTTTCTTTTGATATTATACCTCTGTTTGATCCTTTCAACCCAACAAGAGTAAATTTGAGTAAGATTTTTAGGTATGGCACTCCCTTGCTCTTTTTATTCCCATGAATATCTTTCAATAGTGGGCCTATTCTTACTTCCCTTTTGGTTGGTCTTATACCTTTTTCTGTGTCATAAGATTAATAATAAGCTTTTTTTTAAATGAAAAAACTGTCTAATTCATATGTTGGAATAGTGCTTTCTAATTTTTATCTGATTCAGAGTGTTTCTGGAGAAGCTGAATGCACCTTGACTTCTACAACTTCTACAGAATCAGATGCCTCCATTGAACAATCAAAAAGACAATTTAGAAAAGGTAATTTTCCTATACAGTTTCTTATGTATTATTGATAAGCAAAACTATGCTAACGCTATTTATTTATATAAAAACGTTAACTCAAACCTGGCCATGCTAGGTAGACTCAGGTTTAAATATATAGATGACTTTTTTACTGTGCTTGTTTTTTTTTTTGGAGCTTCTTTTGACGAGTTTAGGAGACTCTATGGTGGAAATTTGCAAGTGTACACTCATTGGAAGCACAAAAAGTGAAATTAAAAGTCCATTATATTTTCTTTTAAGCTTATATCAAGCATATCTATGATGTTGATCCTATTATGAATGGGCTGTGTTATCAATATTTCGACTTCCTCAATGTTTTGGTTAGTTATTGTAGGGACCAAATTCAATCAGCATTATTCAAAAACGATACATGCTTCAGATTTCAAGGTTCTGCCTGCTATATTATTGCTACATTTGTGATTTGCTACAAACTGTTTCCTTCTTTGCCACTAGTTGTTACACAATTGTTTCAAGCTAGCTTCTTTTATGCTGTTACTGATGTAGAACGGGAGAGGCTAGCCACTTAAAATTAGAATTTAATTATCAGTTTTTTAATTTGGAGGGATTTGAAATTTGAAATTTAAATTTAACTCCAAAGGGGAAGGGGAATTAATGGGGAGAGAGGGAGATAGGAGAGAGAAGGTGGGGAAACCGGCGGCATGCATGAGTTTCGAAAGTGGATTGGTGGAGTTAATGCTCTCCAAATATTAATTTTCAGTTTTAGAAAGAGAGATAATTAATCCCATTTAATTTGAAATTAATTTGGATTGATTTAAGAGATTTCCTAATTTAACACTAATATTTTAGGAAAAATTTAAAATTTGAATTTCAATTCAAATCAGATTGATTCTCTTTCCAAAATTATCTATAATATTTAAGGAAAGTAGGCTATCAAAGCGAGATTGGCTCCAATCAAAAGAAAGAGGGGAGGGAAGGGGTGTCTAGGTTCAATGTATGTAGGTTAGGGATTAATTAATCAATCAATTTCAGATTTGATTAATTAATAGGATGTGGGAAGCTTCCAAAATTAAAGTAATTAATTAGGAAGGATTTGAAATTCAAATTTGATTAATTTGAATTTAAATTCCTTTCCAAATTAATGATAATCTAATTAAGGAAAGATGGGGTTTTGGAGGGAATTTAAAACTTCCTAAATCATGATTCTAAATTAGGAAAAGAGTAATTAAATCAAATCTAATTTAAAATCAAATTAGACTTAACTTTTGGAATTTTTCTAATTTAACTTAGTTAATTTTAGTAAAGTATTTGAAATTCAAATTTGAATTTCAAATATATTTAATTCTTACCTCCAAATTAGGTAGACTAATTTTGGTAGGTATTAATGATGATTGAAATCATCATTAAGAGGAAAAAAGGGATGGGGGTGGCCGGCGATTGATATGGATAATTTGGAGGAGGCTTGTGGCTTTGGAGGGGTTTGTGGGAGAATTGGCCGGTGGCAAGTGGGGGATTTTGGCCGGCGGTCAAGGGAGGAGGAGAAAATGATTTAGGGAATGAAAGATACAACCGTGAGCCCAGACACATCCTGCAGTTGACGGGTAATACGTTGCCCTTCTCTAAGGGACTTCAAGTCACGAGCCCGGACCCATCATGCGGCTGGTGGAAACTCCAATTTCCTTCCATAAGAATCTCACCCAAGTTCTCTCCAAAGAACACAAGTGCAAACAAAATTTCTTTTCTTAATAATTCATCATTATATTACACAAGCAAGGGCCTCTATATTTAGGCCTAAGAAACTAAAACAAGACGCATATGCCCCTAGGGCTTACATAGGACGACCCTCTTAAGTAATGGTAAAAAAGGGAAATTCATAATAAAAATAAAAATTACAAATAACAAATTAAGATAAGGTGGAATGATTTCGGTCGTCGATCGTTGTCTCCTCCTTTGAAAATCTTCATGATTGGATGTCTGCATCAATTATGCTACAGTTTCGCAAAGGTGTTGATTGTGCTAAATGCTAAAGTCTTGAATCTTGTTATGCCACCAATTATGACAAATTGAATCTTAACTTTGCGGCCTTTTGTGTCAATTCCCTTTCCTCCTTTTGTTATACTTTTTTTGAATGGATTCATATGCAAAATTTTGAAACTTGAGGCTGATTTCTACTGTTTATGTGCTGGTAGAATTCAAATTTGTTGTTTTTGATTAGGACCAGGTGGATTAGGAAAACTCTTTTATCTTTGATCTTTTGTGGGCTATAAATAGGATTCTTATGGTATGTAAACAATATCTAGCAATGAAATGAATATAGGAGGAAAATTTTGGTTTTTCTCAATTCTTATGTTTGCGTTGATTGAATGTGTATTCTTTAAGCGCTTCACAGGCATCGTTGATTACTTTTGGTGTGGTCTTCTTGTATTGGCAAGGGGCTCGATTATTCCTTTTGGGGTGATTTTATCTTTGTTCTTGCTTTTAATTTATTAGTTGCTGGCGTGATTGAAATATTTTCATGCGTGATATGTTTCTTATTCTCCTTTGTAGTGTGAATTTGATATGTTTTGAATTTTAATCTTAAATCATTTTTTTATAAGAGGAAGCACCAAAATGGTCCCTCAACTTTTTGTGAGGAACCAAAGTTGTCCCCAACTCTTTTGAGGGACTAATTTGGTTCCTCAACTCTTTAAAATGAAACTTTTTTGGTTATAACATTCAATGTTGTAGTTAATGGTGTTAAATGTAAGGGTATTTTGATCATTTTTTAACTAAACTATTTATTAAATATAATTTTCAAGTAATTGTAATTGGACAATTGAATTTGAGTCATACAACATTGTTGATTTATTAACAACTTTATGATTATTTTGATTATTCTAAGATGATCTATATATGATATTTATTGATTTAGAGAAATTCTATGCAAATTGATGTTATTTCAACTTAGTGACACATATTTTTACCAATCATATTTTTGAAACGCGTAATAAAAATTTTGAAATTAAAACTAAAATTATTATTGATTTTTTTATTAATGAAATATTTAATATATATATATATTAAAAATATAATTATTTGAAAATTATATTTAATTAAAAATGACCAAAATACCTTTACATTTAATACAATTAACTCCAACATTAGATGTTAGGACAAAAAATATCTCATTTTAAAGAGTTGAGGGACCAAATTGATATCTCAAAATAGGTGGGAACCATTTTGATCTCTCACAAAGAGTTGGATGACTATTTTGGCCATTTTCGCTTTTTTTATATTGTAGACTTTAATCTTCCCTCATGAAATTTGTATTAGAGCTAAGGTTTTGTCTTTATGTCAGTTGAAAATAGGAAATGTTAATTTGGTCAATAAAAAAATTTAATAAAATATGCAACTTAAATCAAATCAGGTAAGCCATGGTTTCATAACTATAATGAGGATTTAAGTTCATTGTCATATTCAGTGGGAGGTATAATATTGAGGACTTAGACTAGATCGATAATTTGGAATGCTTTGAGTATTATCATTCAGATGATCCTGAAAGGCTTGAATGTGCTAAATATAAGCTATTAAGTTGTGCTCAATCATGCTGCATGGTATTGCTATTGAACATCTATATTGGATGACCTAAAATATAAACTTAAAGAACAATTTATATCATATGAAGAATATTAGGACCAATTGAATAATCATTTTAAGGATTGTAGACAAAATACTTACAATTGATTGTATATTATGATATATTTACTGATATTGTAATTAAACATTTGCTTTGAGACTATCTTGTTATGGTTGTGTTTTGTGAATGGTTAGTTGCAAGAGATCAGTGCTGTCTTAAGCTACAATTTTTCAACCCATGTAATCAAATGTTTGAATATTGAGGTGAGCTATGAACGATCTGTTAGAAATGCGTAATTAAAATTCCTAAAGTAAAAAATCTTACCTTTCTTTTCGAACTTGTCAAACATACATTGATACAAAAATCATGCATGGTTAAATATGATTTTATTGAAGAAAGTATAGCTCATAAATATTTGATGGATTAGATGGTCTGTTACAATTGGATTCTTTTGATGTTGTGCAATCTTAATCTGCATCTTCATTAGCACATTTTATATTTGAATAAGAGTCCAAGCAAGTATTGGGAATTAAAATTGAGTTTGAATTTGCACCTTTTTCAGAAACTCAACATGAAATTGAAATGAACCTATTATAATGGAATTTTAGCCTAAATTGTAATCAGAACCTAAATTCAACCATTAGTGTGTACATGAACTAATAAGAAGTCTCGAATATGAACATGAGTTTTAAAATGATATTGAATCTAGATTCTTGAATGTGTTGCTGAACATATTATGCATGTTGTAACTGGCGAGTCTAACAAGCAAAATAATAAAAAGAATTCTGACTGTGGAAGTGAAAAAATCATGACTATTAAATATGATAAACCAATTAACAAGTTGATTGAACCCTGGATGCGATTTTTTAATTAGAGTATCTTTAATCAATCTGAAATTAACTTTATTTTTTGTTTTTAGCTCTTTGAATTTTGAACTCATAAAAAGAAATTGAAATTGCAAGACTATTTCAATAAGTTTGTTGATGAGGCGGGCTTTAAAGTAAACTTAAACATTTAAATTTCATGTATTTGGATGAATTTAAGTGCCCAAGTCATAGCCAGTGGCCACTAATATTTAATTCATTTGAGTAGCTTTTTTTAAGTGGTTGTTCATCTATATAAACATTTCATATTTGTGTAGTTTTCGTATTGTCAACTTTCCTTGCAATCTCATCATAAAAGATTTTATTATAAATTATTACAAGTATCCCTTATTATGCATATTGACGTTTTAATATTTTTATTACTTGATTCATATCATTATATGATTTGCATTTTTCTGATTTGTATAAAGAGATTTAAAGAAAAATAACTATTGATTATCACAATTATAAGCCTATTGCTAATGTGAACAAGATGTTTGTGGAGTTCAAACTAGTTGATAAGTTAACGGTGCATCTTT